CAGTACTTATATGAAAAAACAAGCATACAGTCAATGGTTTACATTCCAGAAAAGCGACATAACGATAAATTCTCGCACCCACCTTGGTAAGTCATATCCTAGGCCCACATAATCACGCACAATATACATTATCATATGTCTGCAGTATAAGATTGTGCTGCCAAATGAGAAAATAGATAATATGAAAAGGTTTTTGTACATGACAGTCATTTTCAACATAATAAAACTCTGCTCGGATCATTACAATATTAGCAACAGTCTACATAGCGGTGCAGTTTCAATTAGCAATTATGTTATTGGTCCAAAGTTCCTGTACCTCTTCAATGTTGCAAATACATGACCATTCTTGATCATCCATACAGTCTGTTTAGGTACACCTGTTAGAGAGAGAAAGAGAAAGTGAGAGAGCAAAAGAGGGAGAGAGGATGACACAGAGAGAAAGAGAGGGAGTGATAAAGAATAAGCAATAGGTAGAGAGATAGATATAAAAAGTGAAATTAAACCGTGCGAAATACATATTTATCTGTTTTTTTTTTCTAAGAAAAAAAATTAATTCCCCTTGAAGCCATGAATACAAAAAGGGCGCATTTTTTCGATTATTAACTATGTATATTATTAAAATCAGTGTTTAGGACCATAAACTTATCCAGGCTTTGATTAAAACTGCCGCGTGTAATCATTGTCCTTTTCAAAGTTAGTAGCAGCCATGGAATGTCTCATCAATAGGAGCATATGTTTCCATATACGTATTTAAATCCATATGTGAATTTATCTACGTTTATACATGCACACAAACATACATTTATGTATGCATACATATTTACATTTCTGTGTGTGTGTATGCATGTATGTACATACATATATATACATATATGCATAACTTTATGAATATAAATACATATATATACTTATACATATATATATATATATTTATATATATACCTATGTATATATGTATATATATACGCACACACATAAATATATATACATATATACATGAATATATGTATATATATATGTATATACATACATATATGTAAGTATATACATACGATAAATATGTAAATACACACACATGTATGTGTGTATATGTATATGTATAGATATGTACATGCATATATAAACGTATACACATATACAGCATATGTGTAAATATGTTCATATGTATATAATATGCATATATTTACAATATATATATACATATATATGTATATATATATATATATATATATATATATATATAGGCTCATCTATATACATATATCTGTACGTATATGACACTACAATTTCGAAATCCACCTGGATTCCATCTTCAGGTGCGCCGCAGTTGTTTTTTCTACTATATATATATACATATATGTATATACATACACTAACTCACATATGTGTAAATATGTATATGTATATATATATGTATGTGTGTGTATATGTGTGTATGTACATACACGTACAAATATATAAGTATATGTATTCACAAACACACTTATATGTACATATTTACGCACACATATATATATATAATTATATACATATATTAACAGAAATCTTAAACTTTCCCGCGGGTTCGAATCATGCTTAGGCTTCCTCGGGGAAAAGCAATAGTGAGGATGAATATCTACATTTCTCACCGTGAATACTGTTCATCTGACTCTCCACGTGAGGCTGTCGCGGGTAAGACTTTGTTGATTTTAGCTTTCTTCGAAAAGATACGCTATGGGAATTTAGATTTTGTCGCTATATCAATTAATAGGACTTTACTCCAAAAAAGGACCAGGCATAGACACGCTCACTGTGCTGCCGGTTGCTGTCTCACACCATAGAGATATTATGAATGTTATACATATATACTGTGTGTATATATTCAACTAAGATTGGTAATTTTATGTAGACAGCCATATCCTAGGCCTTCGCACAATCTAAATAAATACATGTATATACATAGACAAACACTTATACAGTATATACTAACTTTAAAATGCTCGTGTTTGCGTGTAGGGCTTAGTTTGCATACCTACATCCATATATCCATACAGTTATATATAATATGTTCTTGAGTAAACAAATATTGTAAATAAACCATTTGAGCATGACACTAAAGATAATCTACCTGAGGTGAGCAAAGTAAAATAAAGTTTTAGTCTGATTTATATTACACAAGTATATTGTACATTTGCTTAATAATCATTGTAAAACTATCCGTACACAGGGGCAGGTGCGTAGGTCGGGGCAGGACTGTAGGAAGGGGCGGCGTGGTAGGCTGGGTACTGGGCCTGCCCCTCGTAGCTGACTTCGGCTACGAAGCCTGAGTCGCCATTCACGTAGTAGGTGACCTTCTGCAGGCGGCCGTCGGGGAGCTGCACGTAGTAGGATCCCTTTGTGTTGTATCCGTCGCGGTCTTCGTTGTGGCCGAAGTCGTTGCCGGAGTACGAGTCCCTGACGCCATACTGGAAGTCGTATTCGGCTGGGACCTGTGGGGGTGAGGAGTGCTTTGTCAGTCTTGTATAGGAATGATAGTAACATATTCTGTAGCAAAATAGTTGGATGAATTCTACAGATGAAAACAATAGACGTACATAAACACGAACGGACCTGATAAGAGGGAGCTGGCCTGTAGGAGGGAGCGGGAGCATAGGTCGGAGCAGGCCGATAGGTGGCAGGGGGACTGTAGCCGTACTGAGGCTTGGCCAAGGCGGCAGATGCCACGACGATTAACAGAAGGGTCTGTGGACAACAGTAAATTGGATCAGGACCATAGGTATTTCCAGCGATATTATGGGAAAAAAAAAGGCTAAAATACTTTACCCTGATAGTTTGCCTATCACTTATTGAAGATGATTTTAGAGGTTTTAGTCACACGGAAATTATTACTAGTAAGTACTCAAATAACAGGGTACTGAAACCACACCAAATCACTCTTCGATCTTCTAGTATTCACGTATGAGCTGCATGCGAAGACCTACCTTCATTGCGTTCAGGGGAAGAGAATGTCTTGCTCTGCCGTCTCGGTTCAGCTCTTATATATCCACGCGCTTGCAACGTGACGTCACGGCCTTGTGGGAAACGTGAAGGAAATATACTGTACATATGTTTATGTGTGTCTGTGATTACATATATAGAGATATACGTGTGTATAGGGATATATATACTGTGTGTATGTATATGTACATAATTTACATATATGTAATATATGTGTGTATGTTTGTATTATATATATATATTTATACATATATGTATATATACATAGATATTAATACATTTATACATGCATACGCACAAACACATATGAACACACGCATATACACACACATACATATAAATTAACATATGTATACATGTATATATATGTATATGTATGTAAATGTGCATATGTATGTATGTATGTATACACACACCTACATCTGTGTATGTATATATGAATATACATACATATAGATGCACATATATTATGTGTATTTGTGTATATATACCATATATATATATATATATATATATATATATATATATATATATATATATATATATATATATATATATATATATATATATATGCATTGTGTGTTTGTGTGTATGGGTATATCTGTATGTATTTGAATGTTTATACATACAGATATAAATAAAAGGATAGATAAGTAGATGTCGATATCCAAGAAGGGCAGATGTATATACAATAATCCACATCAGTGCCCGTGTGTCAGCTGCGTGAACGCGCATCCGGCCTGGGTTATACTTTGCTATCTCCCTTTTTACAAGGTCTTATTTAATCATATTTCTTTTACATGAAATATTACTGACCTCTTCTTTCGATGAGTTGCATGTTAGTTGATTATTTCCTTGTTTTTTTCTCTTCCAAGTTCTTTCTTTCTGTTGTGTTAATTATTGTTCCAACGTAACTAATACCATTACTTTTCTCGATCGCTAGATACTATTATACCGGGGATTCATTTTTCAGATAAATAAACTACTTGAGGTGATTGTTTCCATGCATATCATTAAAGCTTTTCCTTATATGCATCACCATACATATTAAGAGAATGAAAATAGAAAAAAAATATATATAAGAAAAAGAGGATATTTGTTAAAAAGTTTGATTATGAACGCAGACTCTATCAGTGAGGAGAGTTTGGCTCTTTGAGTTTCATCAGATACATTACCATACGTAAATTAACCATTAACAGAGGCGAGAATGATGTTTCGTGACACTCATAAGTCTTGTGATAAAAATTATTGTGCGTATGATAATTGCAGGCAAACTGAGAAAATACTGTCGAAACTAGGGTGCTTCTTTCACCCCGTCATCCGTCTCCATTTGGTCTGTCATAATTGAATGCATATCAGACAATCCCTTCCCCCGCCTCCTTTTCCATCCCCCCTTATCTCACTTTCCCTCTCTCTCTTTCTCTTTCTGGCTGTCTATTTCTCTTTCTTTCTCTCTCTCTCTCTCTCTCTCTCTCTCTCTCTCTCTCTCTCTCTCTCTCTCTCTCTCTCTCTCTCTCTCTCTCTCTCTCTCTTCGTCTTCGCTACCATATGAGTAAATATATCTCCAGATATTAAGAACCTGTAGTCTATAGACATTCTAAATGTATCATCCCATGAGCATATTACTTTTAGAAAGGAATAGCCTAAATTATATCACCCAGTTAAAAAAACGTTTCATTAACTGAGAGACTGACTGCGTTTCGCGAGTGCGTGCGATATCTTTCCCACACCCACACTCAGCCTTTCCCACACCCACTCCCTTCCCACTCCTGATACATTCACTCCCCGTGACACCCAAGGACTCACATGCCATCACGTGAGGTCGGGTGTTGTCATACGAGGTCGGCCATTAGGTCAGCGTGATAACTACAGTCAGAACCAAATGTATTCTTGACCCAATAAATGGTATACATCCGGTTTCACACCCTCGCGCTGGCCCTCCCGAATATCGTTGTGTTTTTAATGCCCGTGGGTATCATTATGCCCTGTCTCCGTACGCTCTACAGTGTATATAAAGCGTGGAGCATCAAATCGAGGTACCATACCCGACTAGCAGCACTGCAACCAACATGAAGGTACTATTGGGATCCTTAGTGCATATATATATATATATATATATATATATATATATATATATATATATATATATATATATATATATATATGTATATATATATATATATATATATATATATATATATATATATATATATATATGTATATATATATATATATATATATATATATATATATATATATATATATATATATATATATATGAACAGACACACATCTATATATATATATATATATATATATATATATATATATATATATATATATATATATATATATATATATATGTATATATATATATATGTAGATATATATGTATATATATATATATATATATATATATATATATATATATATATATATATGTATATATATATATATGTAGATATATATGTATATATATATATATATATATATATATATATATATATATATATATATATATATATATATATATATTGATGTGTATATATATATATATGTATATATATATATATAATATATATATATATATAGAGAGAGAGAGAGAGAGAGAGAGAGAGAGAGAGAGATGTGTATATGTATGTGTATATATATATATGTGTGTGTGTGTGTGTGTGTACATATATGTATATATATATGTATATATATATATATATATATATATATATATATATATATATATATATATATATATATATATGTATGTATATATATATATATATATATATATATATATATATATATATATATATATATATATATATATATATATATATATATATATATATGTGTGTGTGTGTGTGTGTGTGTGTGTGTGTGTGTGTGTGTATCTGTGTATATGTATATATATATGTGTGTGTGTGTGTGTGTGTGTGTGTGTGTGTACATACACACACACACACATTTTTTAAAATTAAATTGCAGGACATAGTCCTCTCTCGATTCACTATTTGGCAGTGCCACTCTTGCTTGATTGAATGCCCTTCCTAATCAACCGCGGAATAACACTTGTGCCACGGCGGCGATTTCCCCTACGACACCTGTATTTAACTTCTCAAATCAAACAGGCAAGGGTGAGACTGCCAGACTCAGTGAGACTGAGGGAGACCGATATCCTCCAGTGGAATAAATGGCTGTTGGAAAAAATCTATATATGTGTGTGTGTATATATATAAAAACATATAAAAATATATATATATATATATATATATATATATATGTGTGTGTGTGTGTGTGTGTGTGTGTGTGTGTGTGTGTGTGTGTGTGTGTGTGTGTGTGCTGCGAAAGCCTCCGCTTGAGGGCTCTTCGCTCGGCAGCTTCAAATACCTATTATAACTTGTTCCCGTGAAATTAGTGGATCGTGTCTATTACTTCCTATCATCTGCAAATCAAAATATTTTACGGTAAAATGAAGTTATAAGTTATTGTTTATTTACCTTACCTAATTGGTGCGACGTGTTTCTTTGCACGCTCGTTTATTTCGATTTAAAAAAAAGGTCGTTATCATAAAACTCGTGAATCTTTCTGCTTCATTGATGACAATTAACAGGTTCGATCTGACCAAGACCACTTTTATCTATCTACTATTTATCTGTTTATTTGTTTATCTAATTACTCATGTTCCTTTGCTTATTTAGTTATCTAGTTATATGTGTAAATATTTGTTAATTTGTTAATTTACGCATTCATTCATTTATATACCTATATATCTATCTGTTTATTTATTTTACTTTTAATCTCTCCATCTTTCATGTTCTTCAGACCTTGTGGTAGAGAAGGCCCTTGTTTTGTTTTGTTTTAAATATATATATATATTTTTTTTTTTTTTTTTTTTTTTATTCGACATTCTGTAACAAACCAGTCAATGAATAAAGTATCAAAACATAAAATTTAAGGAGTTAGAACCATCAGATTTCGCGAAATAGAGTAAGTCTGCGCAGTCACCGCTGAGAAATTTTGCCCGACGTCTGTCTGGCTAGCACTGCCTCTGGCAAGTCACCTGGCAAGAGTAATTGCTCTATTACCTGTTCTGACACGGACGAATTTACTTTTCGGTTTCGTCACTCTCATCCGGGGTTCTTGTCAAGAGGGAAGCTAGTATTTTGATGTCTTATTACGCTTTGATTGTATATTAGTATATACAATCAGCTGTCTCTTATAACTGTTGATACGTTCTATATAAGGAATCTCATTCAAATCTTTTAAAATGTAATTGAATTTGTAGCTGTTTCTAGTATGGTAAGACAGTGTAATTTCCAAAGAATTATTATTAATTTACTATCATTTCCACCCCCCCCCCCCCCCCTCCAGCTTAGCCTCGTCCTCTCCCTGGTCGTCACCGCCCTGGCCGCCCCCGACGCCTACCCCGTCGTATCTTCCGTCTGGCCGCCCACAGCCCAACGCCCACACCACGCCCACACGCAATACACTCCAAGCCTGGCCTACGAAGCCGCTTCATCCTACGCTTCAGTTGCTCCCGGCATCGTTTCAGCTTCAGTTCCAACAGCTGGTTCCTCGTCCCTCGCCGTGCTGCCCGTGACGCGTCCTGTACCGGCCTTTGCTTTGGCTCCGGCGAAGAGACCGGCGCCGCACCACGCACCCGCTCGCGCCTACTCGTACGCACCGGGGAAAAAGGTACGGTGCAGCGGTTAGTTTGCAGCGGGGGGGGGGGGGGGGGGTAAGAGAAGTTAATGGGAAGTTGAGGTTCTTCGGTGTATAGTGAGGGATTCTGTTTTTTCTTCTTTCTTTCTGTCAGTCTGTATTTGTGAACTTATTTATTCATTACTTCTTCCCTTTCCTTTAATGCAACAGGTTGTTTTCATAAATGTTAAAAGCGAAAATATAATAAAATATCATTAATTGTAATACTAATACTAATGGCAAACGCATACTATAATTCATTGTAATATCAGTACTAATGGCGAGCACAATCTTCTCCCAGAGCCACGACTTCGGCTGGGCTGTGGGCGCGGGCGGCAGCAACTACGGCCACCGGGAGTCCACCGACGGCTACACCACCAAGGGCTCCTACTTCGTCGACCTCCCCGACGGACGCCGCCAGAAGGTCACCTATTACGTCAGCGGCGACTCGGGCTACGTGGCCGAGGTCAGCTACGAGGGGGCGCCACATTACCACGCCCCCAAACCCGCCTATTACAAGCCCGTCCCGGCATACAAGCCAGCTGCTCACGCCCACGTTCATGCCCTCAAGCACTTGGTTTCCTCCGCCCACCTTCCGAGTCCTTTCCATGGCTGAATCATCGAAAATACTGACCGATTTGCGAGTATGTTTGTATTTATGTAACAGTTAATGAACGTTC